TGCATAACAGCTTGCTTTATATATCACAAATACAATTGAATGCAAACATTTGATCAATTTAATAATGTGATATTAATTTGTGTCACATTCTTATCTGTCAAAAATATTTTTATATTATTTATACCATATATTTTAAATGCTATAAACCACCCTACTAATATCTTTGTTATAGGTCAATTTTTTTTAATATGATAGTAGGAAAATAGGTTATCAATAATTCTCATTATTTTATATAATTTATATTTTAAAACATTTGTATTATAAGTAGCATTATTTTAAAGGTATAATATTAAAATTGAAAAATTAATGGTGTGATAAAAGCAAAAGTTTGTGAGTTTAGTAGTTTCATAAATAATTGAATAAATTTTTTTTTTTTGAAGGAAAAGTTAAGTATATATGCATTTATTATTATTTTGTTACTATTCTAACACAGCTTGATAATTTCATCAGTATGTACTTATACTCTAGTTAATAATTCATAAACTGGTAACTTTTTTTCTTTGATTTCATAATATATTTCTGATAAATTTAACTTTATATTAGAATTAAATATTGTTTTATATATTTTAAACATTGGTTTAAAAAATACAAAGTTCATTTTTGTAATTAATCTTTATAATAATAAATCTATTACATTGATAACAGAAGATTCTTGAATTTGTATTACATTATTTAAAAATATCTTCATATTTATTTTGAATACTTATCTAGTTTTTTATGCATATTATATTAATAAAAAAATAATATTATTCCTTTGTTTGCATTATTTCTTTAGTATGATAAATATATTGATATCTATCTCCTTTTAAAATTATAGTAACAACTTTATTTACAACTTTTTAATATATTTCTTCTTTATTAAGTATAGTTAATAATCTTAAAGAATCTAATATAAATGTTTGTTTAATAGTAAATTGAATATTATTGCTTTTTAAAGGATCTTCTATTCCATTTTCAAAAGTAAATTTTTATAAATTATATTAGAAACTGTTAAAGTAATATTGCATTTTCTTTATGAGTTATAAGAATTACTTCATGAGTTTCAGCTATAATTTATTCTCATTTTTACTATTTAAAATTTTAGTTTATTTTTTACAATCTTTATAAGTAACTTTTACATTATTATTTTTACTTAACTTATTTTCTTCTCTTATTTTATGACATCCTTTGTGAAATTTTAAATTTATATTTTCTAATATTATCATATGTTTTACAAGAGAAAAAAATTGAGTTTACTATTATAAATTTACTATACTAACCTACAATAAATATTCAGATTTTTATCATGTAAATTTACATTTCTGTATTATAATCACCAATTTTTTCCTATCACACATATAAATAAAAAGATAATAAAAATATTATATTTTATTACTTTCTAATTCTCAATGTATAGAAATAAAGTTTTAAATAATAATTAGAAATAAATAATCAGTGTATATCTTACTGATATTAAACAAATAGTCATTTCTACTTAACTTAATATATCAATTAGTATTATAAGTGATATTATAAAAAAAATATAAAAAACTGATTTTACAAAAACTAAGCAACATTTTAGAAGACCTAAAATACTTAACGAATATGATACCTGAACTTTAAAATATATTATACAAACTGACTGATTTTCTTTTCTTAGTTATATAACAGACAAGTTTAATATTAACCTTAACACAACTTTACACTATAATAAAGTCAAAAGTTACCTTTATAATAAAGATCTTAGAAGTTATATTACAAGAAAAGCCTTATTTAACTAAAAATTATCAAACTATTCGCTTGAAATAGTGTAAAGAAAAAAATTAAATAGAGGAATAAAAACAAGTGATATAATCAGATGAATCAAAGTTCTTTCTTTTTAATAGATGATTGAGCAAGTTATGAAGAAATCTTGAAAAAGTATACAATAAAGATTGTATTTAACTTACAATAAAGTTTAGAAAGAATCAGTAATGTTTTAAGAGTATTTTGGCTGGCATAGGATTAGACTGTTAGTTATGATAGAAGAAAATATAAATTCTAATAAATACATTAAAATTATTTTATCTCATAAGTTAACAATTATTCTAACTCTATTTTTTAGTAAAATAGAACATTATATTATATTTCAACTTACAATGTTTGATAAATAAGAATATATAGCATTCTAATTTTAGATTGTATAATGCAAAACTTTGATTTTAATCCAATAGAAATTTGTAAAACCATTTAGATAGTCAGGTTTAAAAAAGAAAGCCTATACTTAAATCTCAATAGAAGTTAATTTAAGTTGTACAATGTGAGTGATAAAAAATCATAATTAAAATATGTTATTACCTAATTTTAAGTATACTTAATTGGGTTAAAACAATAATTAAGGTTAAATTGATTATATTAAATATTAATTTTTTCATAATAATATTTTATTATAATTACTTTATATTCTATTTTTATTATAATAAAATTTATTTATCAATTAAAAAGTATAAAAAAATTATAGATTTATATGTAAATTTTATAAATAAAAAAATCTGAATATTTATTGTAGGCCAGTATATTATTAGTATAACAATTAAATATTATATATAAATATATTTACGTGATTGCATGACAGATCTACTAGATAATATTTGGTTATTGAAAACAGACCTATTATTTTTTAATTAATCTTTGTATACAATAATATAAGTCTTATACTTTTATAATAAAGTATTAATCATCTTCATGAAGTTTCTAGTCAAAGATCATCAAAATACTTTCAAAATATATTCTTTTTTAGTAAGATCAGCTTATATAAGTTAACCTGCAAATTTAAATATAAAGTACTTTTAATTCTAATCATAATTGATTAAGATTCTCACTTGATTACCAATAGTTAGTAGATTTTATTTTAAATTATAGATTATAATATCTATCTATTCTCCTTACGAATATGAATTATATATATATATTTATTTTATATTGACTTATTATTTCATTAGCTTAAATGTGATTTATTAAATTTTCCAAATAAATAAATAAATATGTTTTAGCTTTAATGACTTATTTTAATTTTTTGTTTATATAAATTATTATTTAAACTAAAATTATAATTAATTTTTTTATGTGTTCTTCATACTATCACTTATCAATTACCTTTTTAAGTTTTAAAATATGAAAGAAAATGAATAATTTCTTAGTATAATAGATAGATATAATAAAATAATTTTACTTTTATTACTTTGTTTTACAACATATTAATTTAATATAATAGATAATTATTTCTTTTGCCAAAAAATAACTATGGTGAAGGCAAATTATAGATTATTTCTTATTTTGTAAGTATTCTTTTTTTTGAAAAAATTTGTCTTAAGATTAAAACTTTTTTAATTAGTAAAGTTAACTTTTATCATGCTATATAAAGAAAATTATTGTAATTTATATTAACCTTATTAGACTAGTTTTTTGTTTTATTTTTAAAATATCATGAAATTAAATATTATGTTATGCAAGAAAGAATACTGTATATTATTGAAATTCATATTGTAATGAATTAGCTTTAATCAGGCTTAGGTTTTTTTATTAAAAAAAAAAAGAAAAAAAATTAATTAGATAAAGTTAATAGATAAGTTGTATTGATTATCTGTTAAAAAAAATAATTATCTTTTATTTTTTTAATTAAAAAAAGAAAGAAAAAATATGTTCATAAAACTCTTTGCCATTGTTTATATTTATAAATTTATAGAATGTCTTATATAAGATTTCACTATCAAAGAGATTACAATCATATCAAGGTTATTAGACAATGATTCAACAAAGGTAATTTATTTAAAAATCAAGGTGTTCATCCCTTCAAACTAGGATATAAAACACAAACTGAGAAGTTTGATACAGGGGATGTGATTCTTTTAAGAGGTAAGTTTATTACATATGTAAGGTAGTATTTAGTATGTATAGTAGTTTATTTTATTTTATTTTATTTCTTATCTTAATTTTCAAAAAACTAACTATCTCTTTCATTTCTTTCAAAGTGAATATCTCATCCATCAAAGTCTTGAGAATTTTAACATAATGCTATCAGTAAAACTCAGCATTATAGTCATCAGAATTATAACTAAGACTATTAATAATATTAATGGGAAGTACTACCTAGAGTAATTAATGATAGCTTCTCTCTCAGCTAATTTTTTTTATCTACGGTTTTAGCAAAGAAAAGCAACAGTTTAAACAGTTAAGTAATGTCTTAGCAATGAGATACAGGTATTAATTTCCGTTGACATTTTGTCGAGTTTGCCGTCAATAAGGTTCATTCGAAAAGAACGAGGGTTTGTGTGCAAGCAGTTAACTCGAATTGATGAAATTAATTATGTGAATGAAAAGACATTTTGAAATCGTAATAATATATTATACGAAAAAGAATAGAAAACTGTGGTATTCGTTTATTGTTCCGAATAGATCAAAGTTTTGTCTTGAGAGGGTAAAGTAAAATCACGTGACAAGTTTACTTGTTTTTATTACCTATGGCTTGGTTTAATAGAAATTCGAAATCGGAATATTCAGAATTGGGCAGATCCGATATTTCAAAAAAAAAAAAAAGAGAGAATTCTTGATAGGAAGATATGGCTTATCATAAATAAATAAGCCGTAATATCGCGTGCTTTTTACTTCCGGAATTAACTTAGCCATTGGTTGGTATGATCGTGCTAAGCCGAAGATGTCCAAATACGAGTTTTTTTTTTTTCTTTTCTTTTCATATTATCTTGTTTGAGTATGTCCATCTAACATCTCGTCAATCACTTCCTATGCTTATGAATCAATGAATACATTATTATCGTTCCGTTCAAACAAATAAAACGTGTCCATGAAAAGATACAATCGATGGCGAAGCATTTGACACAAAGTTACACAACACATTCTTTAAATGGAAATGACATGACAAAAAAAGACTTTGAAAAAAAAATCGTTTTTTCCACTCCCTTTATTTCTTGCATTCCTTAATAATTTTTTTGATTTATTCATTTTGATATTTCAAAAAATACGACATGGGCCAATGCTTTCTACTTCGTCGTATCTTTGATTTGTTAAATTATAAATCGAAAACGACGGATTTACACAAACAATTTTTCGAAGTTGATTGCGATCAAGAATTATTTAATGATTTAGGAATTCATGAAAATGATATAAATGTTGAAAAATCAATATTGAGAGGATTTCCTTTAGAAGGATCTCCCGAAGCGACCACAAAGTTATCATCATTACCAACGGAATGTCTCACACAGATATTTCAAAACGTAGGAACTTCTGGACTATTCTCGTGTTTATTGGTCTGTCGTGCATGGTGTAGAAAAGTGGTACCTATATTATGGTCAAAACCTTTTGATAAATTACCAAAAGATTGTAAATATAAACTTATTAGAACGTACATCACAAGTCTTTCGACTGAAGAAAAATCCTTCTTAAATTTACAACTTAAGCAATACGGGTTTAGAATTCCAAACGCGACGCTTAGCTTATTTAATTACCCGATATATTTAAAAGAATTATCATACGTAGAATTATATCAAGCCGTCGATTCAGGGATAAAATATTATCGTAAATCATTCATTGGACGTAATACTTATAAACTAACCTTCTTAATAACGAAATCATTATGTAAAACATTTTTAACAAAGAATATTAATGATTCATCATATAATTTACAATCATTTAATATAGATAAATATTTCAGACAAATTGATGATATCTTTCCCGAGATTGACCTGTTTTCAAAGGTTTATCCAGGTTTATCACAAATCACGAAATTTTCATTGAATTATTATAATCCCATTTCAGATAACCTTTTCAAGTTGTTACAATATTTCCCTTCCTTATGTAAAGGGTTACATTACTTGGACATTACATTACCTTATTTTGAAAACAATACCATCATAATCGATTTATTAATCTCTATCATTAAGGCTCAAAGATCTTTGCAAGAATTTAATTTATCTGGTGCCAGGATTGGGGCGAATTTTATCATACCAAACCTTTTTTCTTTCCATTGTAATAGTTTGATTTCGGTCCAGTTCAAAAATGTTAATTTTCATAAGGTTAATTTACATTTGATTGCTTCTTGTAAAAAATTGGAGCACCTTACAATTTATCATTGTACGGGCATAACTAAATCTAGTTTACCTTCAGCGAATAACCTTTTAAATGGCAATTCAACTTATTTTTATGATTATAATGGAATGAGATTGAAATCATTAAACATTGGATGTTCTCCGAAACGTTCACAAATTCCGAAAATAATTCTTGAATCTCCACTTACGGAAACGTGTCAAGAATTATGCCTGGATTTAATCACACCAGAAATCATTGACGCCACAAGACGCAATTGTCAAAACGTTACCACTTTAATACTCCGAGATCATTTTATCATCAATGACGTTACCAAGGAATCCTCTTTAATATATAATTTATTTCATGGATTATTATTAGAAAGATTGATAATTATCATTAGTCCAAGGAATAGTGATTATGATGAATTAAATGTTCGTGCTATAGATTTACCATCTTGTTGTTGGTATTTGGAATTACGATGTGGATTTGCTGAAAGACAATTTTATGATTTGTTATTAAGTAAAGAATGTGTTGCTCCGATTAGCGTATTAATCTTGGAATATTTGAAATTAAATATTGTTCATCTAATGACCGTGAGAGATTTTGCAATTATGAAAGGAACATTAAAATATTTTGAAATTTGCGGAAGAAAAGATTTTGATAAAGACGAGTTGAAGGTGATCAAAGATTTACAAAATGTATATAACGTTAATGTTAATTTTCACGAAAATTAGTTTACGGTCAAAATTTTAGACATTTTTTTTTTTTAACAGGACATTTTAATAAATTAATATCAAATTTTTGATTCAAAATCAAATTCCCGGTAAAAATCATCATCGCTTTGCTTATTTATTGAGCAATCATGGCATGTTACTATTCAAATAAATCGACCAAACCAACTTGTTCTGGATCATCTACAACATCTAATACACCAATTTTAGGCTTTACATAATTTCCTACAAGTTGTTTCTTTGAACTCGTATTTTGGTTTTTTGTCGTAGGTATTTTAAACCATTCACCTTTTGAAACCTATAATTTGTAGGTATTATATACAATTAAATTAATGCCACAAATGAATTTGCCAAATTTTGATGAATTTACTTACTCCCGTTATTCCTTCTAAAAATTTCTTTACAACAACTTTTCGCTTTCTGGATTCAGTTGCTTGACTTAATTCAGCTTCAAATTTCTAAAGAAAAAAGATAAAACATAAAAAAAAAATTCGCAAAATTACAAAACAAAACAAAATATAAAATAAAATAAATTTCTTACCTGTAATTTTTCATAATTCATATTCGATAAATTAGAAAAGGTTTCAAAAGGTACGGAAGAAAAAGGCCTTAATTCAATATAGATATCTGTTATTAAAGATACTATGACAGGATGAAATTCTTTATGATATCCATCATTCAATGCCTAAATTAAACAAGTTCAAAAAAAAATTTTATTATTTTTTTTTTTAAATAAAAAGGGAATAAAGAAAAACTTTGAACAATATTACTACTTACATGCAAAGCTGAAGTTAATAATCCTTTTCCGACAAATTCTCTTAATCCTTCTCGTTTAATTAGATTTGGTAATATTCTTGCACATAATTGTACTACTCGGACACATGATATTGAATCTTTGTATGTCATTAGATGACATAAACTCGTCAATAAGGGTTCTGCTATAGGCTGCAAAATTTTTTTAATTAATGATAATAATGAAGTAAGACTTATATGTAATTACTTACCATGTAATCTAGCACATATTCTTTTAATTCATCATTTTCTATTTATTAAACGTCTTAAATAAATAATTACAATTGAAAATGTAATGGTACGAAAACGACTCCAAAAATAACTAACCGACAGCCACGCCACCTTCTGAAGTCTCGGCTCCTCCACCTTTTTTTCCAACACTTCCAAATATAGGCTCCACGACATCCAAATAAGCTCTGGTTAAATCTTTTAGGATCTTTTCATCAAAGATTTCTTCAAATTCATCACTATATATATCTAATGAACTTTCTTCAAATGACATGGTTCTATAAAAAAAAAAAAAGGAAATTATTTACTTAAAACTTTTTGAATAAATGATAAAGCCATAATTAATTTGCTTACTCTTCTAAAGTAGACATGTGTACACCTTTTATTATTAAGGCATTCCATTCTGCTAATAATTTTTCATCAATATATTTAAATAATTGTGGTAAGAGTCCTGAAAGCATTGAAGGTGCAGGACAATTTAATATATATGATTTTAATACTGAAGGTATAAATGAAATCAAGGTTAAGGATTAAATTGTATGCATATTTTAAAAAAGAATCCTCTCCTTAAAAGTATCAAGGATATTTAATAACATTTTCCAATGAATATTATTAATATTATCGGCATTCTCAAATAAGGACTGGGTTATTAATTCAGTCATGTTTGGTAATACCGTGTAGAAATCAGGGCCGAGGAATGGCAATCGACCAAGTATGTAATAACTTGAAACCAAATAAGCAAATCAGTTAAAAGTTCGAAAATTTATCTCCTTAAAATTCGATCATCTGATAATTACCTATCAATTCTGACACTTACAAGCCATTTTTTAATGTTATCAATCATTCCATTAATTGAATATTGTGAATCTACCGTTGTAATTTTTTGTTGCATGCCTATAAAAATAAATAATTATTATTAATATTATTTGTAACTTACAATTTAATCGTAGATTTTCATCTGAATTTTTAGATTTATAATTCCTCGCACCTATGACCTTAGCTTTTTCTTCTTTAGAGAATAATAGGATAGAATGTAATTCTACAGGAATTTCTCTCCATGTTTCAACATTCCAAACTTGATGTAACATCCTATAAAGTTATTTAATTAATAAAAATGAATAATAAAATGAAATCCTCTTGTAATCATTTACCTTATAAAACCTAGTATGAACGTTAACATAAAAGGTATATATTGTTGCCATAACTTCAATGACTCTTTCATTGCCGTATCATTTTTCTTCTAAAAAATTATATTGGACCCGTCTTTATAATGATTTATTTGCAAAATAAATATATGTTCTTTCATTACCTTGGATGAAAAGTCCGTGGTTCGCCTTAACCAAGTCAACGTAACGATTAACAACCAAGCTATCTTTTAATTTATTAATAAAAATTAAATTAACAAAAATTTTAAGCATCAATATAGTTGATTTTTCAGGCTTTCACACTTACTTTATTCCTTTTAGATTTAAATACCTTGATATCTTCTCTCTCAAATACTGGACTTTTTAAATTCATTACACCATTATGTTTCATTCCATTAACTTAATTTTTTTAAAATAATGAAATATATTGTTAACCCTTTTTAAAAAATAAAAAACATAAAATATGTATAAAGGAATGAGCCTTTCAACTTACCAACTGTCGCTAAAAAATTCAGACCAATATTCTCCATGAATCTTTGAATTGATTCTATGCAACCAACTAAAGACGGAGAATTATATTCACTAATATCCGATCCAATTATCGAATCAAATAATGGTTGCTTTTGCTCGAACGGAACTTTTGAGAAGTATCTAACAATCAAAATTAATTAAGTAAAAATAAAGTGATTTGAAGAAAATGAAATATAAGAAAAACTTACATAATTGATAATAAAAATTCTTTAAAATGACCTTTCTCTCTTCCGGTAACTAAACGTTTATCACTTCTAATTATCTCATTTATATGGTTAGATATATCGGAGTACATGCCCTAGTAATAGTAACGACAACAAATATTAATTTAGAATACATAATAACAATAATTATTGAATGCTTACCATTAAAACATCAGGCATAACAACTCCAAACCTAATCAAAGCAGTAACAGCTCCAACTCTTAATTTCATGATTGGCGGAGGAAATGAAGAACTCGACGAAATACTATAACCTGGTGGACAAAATAATGCAAATTTAAACATCTAAAAAAAAAAAAAAGAATGTCGCAATGTTATTGTTAGCATAAAAATATCGAAAATAAAAGATGTTATAAGCAACCTTCTGTAAAACTTGAAATAATAAATTTGAATCAATCTGTAAAATTTCTTCGAATGCTGCTAATGCTGCCAAGTATCTGTGTATCATTGATAAATCCTATAAATAATAATAAAATGTAAAAATTGCTTTGTTAAAAAAAAAAAATGCAAATATAAATAAATCCTTACCTCATATTCAATTCCCAATAACATTTGTAATAAATTGTTCATTCCATTCATAATCTGTCCCCTTAATAATAATCTATCATTATTATTGACATTCTCAACCTCTTCGTCACTTTGTTGTTTAATTAATATTCCTAATCCAATAACAATTGATTCCACTAAAGTCATTTCAGTCTCAAATGTTACATAAAATCTAGAATCAAGTCTTAATACTCCGTCAACTAAAAGAAAATAATTTCAGTATAAATAGAATTTTCGAGAGTTAATCTAACAAAATACGTCATTGAGGTATTCGCTTACCATCTAAATCTTCATTACTAGGTCTTACATTACAAGTAACTTGTATCCTATTAACCATCCAACTAAATATTTCAATTGGTTGCATTAAAGCAACGCTTTTAAATAGTTCAACAATTTTATAGCGTAATGATTGATCAAACATTCGACGATCATTCATTGAATCAAAATCAAGGTCATTGTAATGTAACGCAGAACTATCGACGGGTTCTGAAGAATGGAGTGCCTATTTTTTAAGAAAAGTGTAACACATTCATTATAATTCCGTTAATTTTCAAATCTTTAAGTGAAAAGACGAAACACATACATTTGAAAATCGCTTAGTAAATAACTCCATCAACATTATTGGCAATCCCTTTTGTTCGCTGATTATCTAAATAAAAATTTATGTTAACCTCCAATTCAGGAATCATTATTAAAAGGGGGTCCTACCTTCGAGGTACAATTGTTCTTTATCGCAGCTTGCCAACATGTTAACGATATGGATGCAACCATATTTGATGGAAAATTTGAAATTAAATAAATTAATTCTAAATACCTAAATAAAAACGATAAAAAAATATTGATATTAATAAATAATTAATCGAACAAAATAATTATTAATAAAACATACTTTGGAAATTGTGTTGGAATTGCTGAAATATTTTTATGACAAATGTGTTTCTCTCCCAATCCAGCTATAGCCTATAAGATGAGATTAAAATTAAATTCTTGCAATCCTTGCGATATATATATATATTTTTTTTAAAAAAACAAACCTCAGCAAACATTTTCAAATACAAGTATTCATCATCATCTATTAAGAGTTCCTGTCCAGGAGGTTGTATTTTGTTATATGCATTATGTAATAAATCCAGACACGTCCCATCAAATATTGGTTCAAAAACAATAGTGCGATCTTCTGCTCCTAAACTTCGTGAAAAAATTATTGCAAGACACTCGATCGCTTTCTACATCACCCATTAGAAAAGAGTTATAATATGAAGGATAAAAATGTTTGTAAATCATTAAATGACACAAATTTACCATTCTTATTTCATAGCAATCAATCAACAAACAATTACAAAGCATCAACACAACGTTTGACTCTACGATTGATCTGATTAAAATTTTATCAAATTAAAATATTTTAAACAAAATAAAAATAAAAAAATTACTCTTGATTTAAATACCTTGTAAGGATCCAATCCAAAGTGGTAGCCAAAGTATTTAAAATAGCAGTTGATAATTTTTCCTGAATTATAATCGTTTGTGGATTTGGATCTTGCAGTTGTTTCTATCGGGGGGTTTTAAATAAATTAAACCGTTTTTCTTTGCTGTCAAAAAATCAAAAGCAAAGATTTACCTGACGTTGCCATTCGCCAACGATTTGTTCCAAACTTCTTATCCACCGAATTAACCATCCCTCATTATTTGGATCATCACCAAACATAATGGTGACTTTTCCTTTTCGCCCTCCTTCGCTTTTTACCCCATTAGGATATTGAATTCTCAACACATTAGAGCTTACGATTACGCATTGCAACGAATCACGAGTCTCGGTTTCTTCTGCCAAATAACTAAGTATCAATAACGTAATTTCTTGTGTGGTCGGCTATAATAAATGAAAAGAATATTTAACAAACGAAAAAGTTTTAAAATGCGAACAGATGACGTAAGAGAGCCTACACTTTTGTTATAAAACCCTTGTAATAATTGATCCATATCATCCCATCTTATTGGCCATTCTTTTTTAGCTATATCGGCAAATAATTTTGCAACCTTACTTTTAATGAATGATTGTTCTCTCAAGATATCATGAATTCCCTAAATTAAGACACAAATTAATTTTACAATCATATATATATATATATATCTGAATTATCTAGGTACCCCTTCTATTAACTGAATAACAGCTTGCTTGATTTGTTGTTTTTCATCATCATTATAAGTTCCATCATTCCATTTAAATTCAATTGCGTGTTCTATTAATTGTAACCCAAAATGACGTACTGCATCAGATTGATTATTTTCTAAGTGTGCTAAATATCTTCCATAAATCGGCGAAAGTGGATGTTCTTTGATTGAATTACAATACTATAAAAGTGTTTATGATCATAAATTTGAAAAATATTAATATGAAAAAAAAAAGAAGGAAAGGAAAAACTTACCTCTTGAGCTTTAATTCTTATTTCATTTGTGATAACATGATTATGTATGGTTTCCAATGCATGAACAATTTGTGTCAACACTAATATGAAAATAAAATAATTTTATGAGTAAACATTCTTTTGTTTATAATGATGTTTATATTTATTTATATTAAAAAAAGTAATTAAGCAAGCGCAAAAAGAACGAAAATAACATTTGGATAATTTATTATTTAATATATTATCTTTATTTATTTATTGAATAAAATTCACAGACAAAAATTTACAACTATTTATAAAAATAAAATAAATCAAAAAATTCAAGTTCCAAAAAAAAAAATCACAAAAAGAGTTTCTAACTTCCTTTTCTAACAAGTAGTTCAAATTAAAATAGTACCTTCGTTATCCATTTTATCCATTATAAATTAGAAAACCGAAAAAACGAAAGGACAAAATCAGTTTATCAACAAAATTTATTTAAATCATTAAAAATGATTGGCTTGCTAAATCGGGAGTTAATATGTTACACAATTATAATGTAAGTTTTTCTTTTGTTCCCCGATTAGGAAAACACCATTTTTGTCAGTCAGATAAATTACAACAGTTGTATCGTAGTACACCGTCACATGATCTGAACGCTCGATATTAAAAAATTTTATTACAAACAAAAATTCATTTAATGTAAAACGTTTTGATCATATTGATAAACTACAAGATTAAGCAATATAATAATTTTACATCGTTTTCTAATAATAAAGAAATCTGTACATAGATGCTAATGATATTGCAATAATTACATGATATAAACATCCATGATTGGGAATATTATCAAGAATTATTTGAAAGCATTTCAAACAATTTGCCTTCCGTTTCTGATATCTCATCATCAGATTCCTCCAAAAAGGGGATAGTTGGTGAAATAATGATTGGATCAATTTTTTGTTTAACAATTCCAACCTCTTTCAAATTCAGATCTAATGGACGACTATGTTGCAAAGCCTTTTTTTGAGATGACACGTTTTCATTCCGTACCTTTGGTTTCTTTGGAGAAGTATCGGGTGGGTCGTCAGAGGCTATAGATCGCTTAACCGTTTGTTTCCCAGTTACGGGTTGAGAAGGATCTTGTTTAAACTTGTTCGTGTCTTGCATTTCCAATAATTCCTTTCTTTTACTAAAGCTAATGACCTCTTCAACTTCCATACTCTCATTTATACAAGGATGCGTTTCATAATAGCGACCAGAAATTTCTTTGATCTCCATAAAATATTCTCTATCTTCTTCATTTAATCTGCTCCAACTGAACTTATCACCTTTCGTAGATGATTTTAAATAAATATCACCATTAAAGAATATCTTATTTTCATAATTCTTATATATTGTGTTAATCTTGAAAACTCTGATATTATTTCCTTTTGATTCGACATCGTTCATTCTCACATAATCTTCCTCCTTCAAAATTTCAGAACCAAAATATATCGACTTGTAATGTAGACATTTTTCCATTTCCTGAAGCAATCGTCGTTCTTCCAAATCCTTAATATTTTGCAGGAATAGCGGAGGAAATGTATATGTGTAAGAATCTAGGAGAGTATAAGTTTTGCTAATCCTCCTTGCAATATCACATGCCGAACAAAATAAGCTGATAATACGCATTAATGTTGGAGAATTTTTTCCTTGATCTTCCTTTATTTTATAAATTTTTTTCACAAAATTATCCGATGAGTACAGCAGCCAAGGAGCAACTTGATCTTCCAATGCTTTTAGTATTCCTGCCACGTTAAAAGGCTGGACTCTATAACATATTTTACCGATTTGTGATCCAATGACCTTATCATTTGCAACTTGTGAAACCTTTTGTCGTTCGATAACGTAACCTGGCCAATGACCAATGTCTACGTTTCCTTTCCTTAATTCTTCCAAATGATTATCAGGGAGAATCGTTGACGTTTTAATCCACGCAACTTCTCCGCTTCGAATATGATAACTTATGTCGGATGGAAGTTGCTCATTTTTTGAGGCACTTTTCTTTGACTTTGATTCAACTTTATTAGGTGATGGTGAAACTGTTAAGGATCTTTTTGTAAGAGCAGATTGAGGCGTTGTCTGTTGAGAAGATTTTTGTGATGTGGGTTGTACTTTCCTCCTTGGAGTTGAATCCTTTGAACAATATTTGCATACGCATTGAGTCGATTGATCCGACGCTAACCACAACAAATGATCTTCAAACTCTGCAGGAGATCGAAACTTGATCGAGCCGAATCCTATATATAAACGAGGTAAGAAAGAATGATTAAAAATAAAAAATAATAACAATAATTTGAATAAATTTTGACAAATTTCAATAAGTACTTACCAAACAGGTATGTGTCTGTCCTATATTTCTTAGGGTCGTGAATGTAATTCTTGACGTGTTCAAAAAGTTGATATCCTTTAGGCAAATCCGTTAATATGTCTTGAGAAAATTAATTAGTAAAAATAAAAAAAAAGTTAATTAATTTAATCATTTATTAATTAGGACACGATAAAAACAGATTTAACTTGAACGCTATCAGTAAATCAACTTACCGGTTGAGATTTCAGTATCACTATTAGCTCTCTTTAATTCGCGTGCTAATGCGGCACCGAGCTTAGTACAATAAAGAACCCATTTTGTTTCCCGCTTTTTAATAGGTCTGTAGTAAAATTGTTTACCATCTTCGTCTGGAGTACCAGCGACGGTATTTGTTGGATAATGCTCGCTTGTAGCATCACTTGTAGTAACCGTTAATCCCGCTTTTTCAATTTTTACATTAACAAAAGTATAAGCCATTTTTTTTTTACATATAACGCCACGATCTATTCAAATCAGTTTGTGTTTTATAAGCTTGAACTAATTTTTCTATTACTTATTAGTATTTCGACGAAGTGAGCATACGTTATGTGGTTGCCAGCACAAAAGGATTTGAGAAAAAGTTTGTTTATATCATGTTATTTATATACCAATAATCCAATAATTAATTAAAAAGAGCGCGCGCAATTTAAAAAAAAGGGAAGCGTCGATCAACATATCATCCAATTAAAACTCACTAGATGATCATATTTGGCTAATGAGTTAATTAAATTTCGCGTCATCTCATTAAATGAAGCTAATGTCGATTGAACATTTTTAATCGTCATACCAGAGACTCTGAATCACGAAACGCAAATCGGTTGTTGGTATTTATGTAAACGTCGCACGTAATTTAATGATTACATGAATTATTTCCCAAGTCCGCAGTAAAGAAGAAAGAAAAAGAAGATAGACGCGTCTTAAATCTACATACAGTATGTGATTGACCATGGGATAGATCAACTTGTAGTGTCAAAAAAGAAAATTCGGTTGCATGAAATATTTGGGGATATTGGATTTTTTTTCAGTTAGAAGATTTTGGCCTTATCTATCATTTTAAGGATGAGATACATGACATCTCATGCAATTCGTTAAACGAAGTTAAAACGAATTAATAATGATCCTTCCTTCTCCCCCATTTTTAATATTATAACCAAAAAAATTCAATTTTTTTTTTTTTAACCTTGTTTCAAAGGATATAGTGTGTACACCCAAGAACTACAAACAAACGCCAAATTAATGATATCATGCAACATGAAGAAGTCACACGATAACACACACCTTACACAAAAAAAAATTTATTCCATACGTTCGGATTTTATTAAGATTTGACAGTTCATGTTCGCCGTAATTTCGTTCATTTTGAAAGTGGGCTTAAGCGGCGAAAGAAAGGTTTTTGATTTTTTGTTGCAAACAATCTTATTAAACCTTATTATTCTTGCCTCGGGTTTTTGAGGAATTACTTTGGTATCCATATCTGAATATGCATTCTGCAAGTTGGCGATAAGAAAAACAAGTTGCCTAAATCAACAAAGATTTTTTTTTTTTTTTGAACAAGATTCATTCAAAAATTCAGGGGTATTGTGAGCATTACGCTAAACAATACCAACTGATAAAACTTGTTTAGCCTTTTAAAATTGCTTTTTTTTTTTTTTTTATCTCGTGTTACGAAAATTTATTGTGTTATCAATTTTAACGCCAAGCCAGCTTCATAAAACTTTGGGTGATCAATTGTTATGTAAAACTAATTTAGGGTTTATAAATTAATACGTTAGATTAAAATCTATCTGTAGATCTGTGCCGAATTTTTTGGTTCAATCTTTGTTAACCCTTGAACCTTTTTTCTTCGAGCATATAAATTCTGCTCGTTTACCTTTTTATTTTTTATTAATCTGTTCTGTGAACATACCTTAAAATAAATAAAATTTTACATATATATATTTTTTTTTTTACATGCAATCCTTTGTATAGTAGTATTAACAAAAATGTCAATAGGAAGTACTCTAAGGAAAGTCTTTTATTCTTTAATAAGAATATTTGCAAAATTAATTTTTACTATATTCTATCGAGACCATGGAGCATTTCATCGAGAAAATTTCCCAGAAGATGATGGTACACCAATATTATTTATAGCAGCACCACATGGAAATTTTTTAATGGACGCAATAACGATTTTTGTGGCCTGTCCTCGGAGCATGTATTTTTTAAGCGCAAAAGCGAATTTTAATTATCCTATATTTGGAACAGTCATAACAATACTTGGATGTATACCGGTAACGAGACCACAGGATGTGGAAAGAGTCAATGGAGATGGATTAGTTAAAGTTATAGAAGAAGGGAAAGTAGTCGAAGGAGAAGGACTTGGGAAAGTATTACAAGTGGGTGATAATCTCTACGTTGAATTCGAAGGCCCTGATAATAATGAAATGTTGAACGAGGCGTGTGGTACGGTGGAAGAAATCATCAATGAAAATCAAATACGTATAAAAGATCCTGGAATGAAATGGTTGACAAAAGGAAGAAAAAAAGGGAAATTTAGACGATTGGTTGAATATGGTAGTGTGGTCATTAGAGTTGAGAGGGGCACTACATTAAAGACATTAGAAGGATTAAATTTTATACCAAAATCAGTTTCGCAAAGTGTAAGCAGAAGTTGGGATAGGTTTTCTTCATCACCCGGTAAGCTACCATTCCTAATCAAAGATGATCAACCTGATGAAATTGTCGTATATCCTCAAAATCCGGAAGCAACAGAAAGAACTCCTTTGCTTGTTGCTAATGGTGAATCATCACCATTATCATCATCACCATCATCATCATCATCATCATCAACAGCAACAACGACGACGACGACGACGACGCATAAAAAATCAACCCCAATTTATAAACCAAGCTTCCCTTGTGTACCAAGTATACCGACAACATATTCTTATACTCATATGCCACCACATTCTGAAGTATATTCCGCAGTTTATAATCATTTTTCGAAATCACAATGTGTTGCAATATTTCCCGAAGGAACTTCACATGATAATGAACATATGTTGTCGTTAAAATATGGTTGTGCTGTAATGAGTTTAGGTTATCTGGCTTCAAGAGAACCGGATTCTTTTGGGAACGAAAAGAAATTAAAAATTGTCCCTTGTGGTTTGAATTTTTTTAATCGTCATCGATTTAGAAGCCGTGTGTTCGTTGATGTTGGCCCTCCAATAGAAATTGAATCAAGATTAGTTGAATTATATAGATCTGGCTCTGAGGGAAAGCGTCAAGCTTGTCAAGAACTTTTGAAAACCATTCAAACTTCTTTGTCTGAATTAACTGTTAATGCGCCAGATTATTTTACTCTTTTATTTTTTAAAACTGCTTCACGGTTATACCGAGAAAGTTTACCAAATGAATTAAGTTTTCCTAAAAAGTTGGCATTGTTAAGAAAAATAGCTAAAGTAAGTTATACATGTTCTCAATTTCTCTTTTTTATTTCCCTAATATATATAATTAATATCCTTTCTTTTTTTCCTTATAAATAGAAATATACAGCGAATACACCACCAACAGACGAAGCACGCAAATTAAAATATGATGTGGTTGCATATATACAAAAACTTCGTAATCATCGATTATCACCACCACACATGTCCACAACTCCAATATCTTTATTTTTCTATCTACCATTATTTATAATTCTCGTTGTATTAACGATTCCAGGATTTGTTTTATTTTTCCCAATTGGAATTATAGCAAAATATGTTGGTAAAAAACAAGGAGAAAATGCCATGTTATACGATGATAATTCATTAGCGATAACAAGATGGCCAGGTAGAGATGTTATAGCAACATGGAAAATGATGTCGGGATTGGTATTATTTATTACTTTTGATGTAATATATACTGCGATTATGGTACATTTTATCAAAATTTATGACCTTTATGAATGCCAATCCCGTAAAGATGTCTTCTTATTAGGCTTATGTATATATACATTTTTCTGGACTGCGATTGCTTATGCCACTATCTTATCTTGGGAAAGAATGTGTTGGGTTGGCAAAAGAGTTTGGGTCGGTATTTGGAGTTTATTTAACCCAAGAGAACGTCAATCCTTAACTTCTTGGAAGAAAGAATTAACTCTTAGAGTTTGTAGATGGGTAGAAAATGATGACTAAAATTAAAAGAAATTACTTGTAAGAATATTTTTTTTGTATTATTATTTTTGTATTTGATAACGTATTACAACATATAGATCAAAAATCATGTTTATAAAAGACATTATATACTCAGGATTTACTCTCGGGTCTATAGCATTTATTATTATTACTATTATTATTTATTATCTATTTACATGTATTATTTTTTCTACAATTGTTTTCTTGTTTTCTTTTTTTTTTTTGTGATTAGTATTATTTAAATTATTATTATGTTTACGTAGGGTGTATATACTATACTTTATTTTAAAGTGTCAATTAAAATATTAATGTATAATAAAATCTATTTCAATGGAAATTCAACTTTTTTAATTTTAAAAAATCTTACGCGACATAGCAATGAAAGTGGGTTTATCACCAGATAAAATCTGGTTGATGTCATCGGAAATGGGTTTTTTGTCTCGAACGATTATTAATATTTAACAGAGTATGAAAAGGAAAAAAGATGAATTGGAAAGTTTGAGGATCAGAAATTATTAATGTCTCCAAATAAATGTCATATTTTTCCGAAATAAGCATCGTTTTCAAAATAATGATGTATTTGTATTTGAGGTTTCTTTTTCAAGGTTGATCAGCTACAACTTTCAGCAAAATTATTTGTGATATAGCTAAACTCTAGAATTGTTGTTACGTTCGTACTAACTGTCATCATTATGCCCATGGATTATCAAATTTCTCAAAACGTCGTTTCTCATCTAGTCTGGGACGCAACGATTCAGTTATAATCTCTTCCTGTGGAATTGATTGAATTTCAATATTCTTCTTTTGTCGGAATATTCTTGGTTTCACAAATTTCGTATCATACTCATGTTGGACTTCTCTAAATATAATTTCTTTGTCCCGAAGAAGTGAAATGAATTTGTTCGTATAGAAGTACATTTGTAAAGCCAAGAACGCGGCTAACATGATATTGAAAATCCGAGTATCCTTGTTCATGAGCATAAGGATTCCAATTTGCACCGGAGAGAATCCACATAGTAAATTAAGACAAAATTTGTTTGGATTCCATACGCAAATTTCCCAAACTTTTTGACCTTCTTCATATGGTTTGTCATAATACAACTCATAAAGTTGTTGGTGTCTATTAATAAAAAGTTTAATCATTAATGATTTTCAGTGATTCAATTATTTCAGTTTAAAAAGAAGCGAACAATTATTACATATAATATCCGAGTCGATTTCGAGCGTACCATGGCAAGCCGACACAAACAAGGTTAGCATGTGGAATATTTAAAGGTTCATCTTGATTGTGAGAAAAGAAATGATAAATTCTATAATTCCACCACCACAAATATATTACATTCAGAATACTTGATAACAACAAAACATATGCTATTATAGAATATTCATCCATGTATTCTTCACATTCTATATTAATTTCATCTAAACAATCTTGTAAAGGTTCGGCGGATGAACATTTCATTTCTTTTACTTTCAAGTTGTTTAAACATATTTGTGAGGAATTTTCTCTTTTATGACTTAAATATCTCTCTGAAATGAGTATAATGTTCAAGACAAATGCCACAATATGACCTGCGGTACCTTGCAAATGATTTAAATCTGGTGGAAGATATGTGTCAACAAACATTGTAATGTAATCGCTGATTGACAGCTTATCATCATTCATATTGGAAGTTTCATCGAGTCTCTTCATTTTTTATTGAGGTATTTGCAAATGAAAAATCAACGCAAAGAAATTTTCGTGTCAAATACGATAAATCACACATGGTTTGTTTATATACAGTATTTATTTATTAACTGATCAAATCATCGATTATTTATAAAAAAATAAAAAAATAAAATAAAATGATTGGACAGACAATTATCGCAGGTTGATGTGCCCCTTTAACGTTATAAATAATAGGTTATTTTTGTATTCATTTTTTGAAATTGAGATAAATATTGCTACTTAACTTCACGGGCTTTGTAAATTGATCGTTAAATTTGAATTATAAAAAAAAATATTATATAAAATAACATTATAAAAAAAAAAAAATAAGATATTATTTTTATTAAAAAAAAAAAATAATTTAAATTCTTTTTCTTTTATAATTAACTTTTTTTTTATAAGACATTCTTAAACTATTTATATGATTATATCTTTTGTAAAACTAATTAAATTATTTGAAATCAGAAAAATGAATAAAGTTTTTATAGAATTAATTAATGATATAATATTCAAATTTTATACCTGTAATTTATTTCATATTTCTTTATATTTAAAATTTTCTATAATAATAGAAAATATACATTATTTTTTATCTAATTCATATTTATTAATTTGAATAACCTCTTTAAAACTTTTTTATAATATATTCATTATTAGTTTTAAATACTTATTTTCAATTTCTAATTTAGTTTTTTTATTATAAATATTATTAATAAATTTATATTAAATAAATATAAACATATTATAATTATTATTAGAATTCACATCATACATTTAGAATTTAAACTAAAATAAAATTTTTTAGTTTATTAGTAAAATTATAATACAATTATTTAATTCAACAAAATACTTTGTCTTTTATAATATATCTACCGATTTGCAGATTTTGAGTTTTATTTAAGAATTATTATACAATAAAGTTTCAAATTTTATTAGTCAATAAATATGTTAATCCTTATCTAAATATTTTAAAATACCTTAAAGACTTTTCAAAAAACTCTAATAAAATGAAAAAAGCATATTAGATTTAGCAAAACCCATTGGATTCTGAAGATAAATTAAATGATAAAGCTATGTGATTATAAGCCAAAACTTTTATTGAAAATGACTTTACAAATATCTCTTTTTATAGAGTATAATAAAATACATTTTACAAGATCTAGATGCATTCTATTTGTAAAATTTTATATAGTTACAGTACTAGTATTTAAAAACTAGTTTATTTAATAGTAAATATAAAATTAAATAATTATACAGTCAATTTTATTACTTTTTATTTATCAACATTCGTTTACTTTTTTACCCATTAGCATAATAATAATTTTTCATATTCTTCTTTATACTCCTTCACTAAGTAACTTCTTTTTGTATTCATTTGTGAAAGACAATTCAAAAGTTCACAAGGCTTAACACAATATATTAGGATAATTAAAAAATATAATCAATATCAAAGTTTTGATAATGTGTTAGCTAATACAATTTTTAAATTTAAAGAAATTTTAGTGATAGAGATATACAAAAAATTAATTTTAAACTTTAAGTTTATAGAAAAGAAGTTAGTATCTATACTATATTCTGAAAGTATTTTTTTTTTATTTTTTTTTGACATATTCATTATTATTCTAAAGCAAAAGGAAATTACAAGTGTATTTTTTATAGTAATAATGCATATTAAATTTTAAATAAAATTTTAAATTCTGATTAATAGGGAAAAAAAGTTATTCGCAAAATAAGAAATATAATATTATATATTTGAATCCTATTCTGTAAAATGCTAATTCATATGATCAATCAGAAGAAATAGATCCTCTCAAGTAATTGATTTATTAACAATAATTTAAAAATCATAAAAAAACTAGATGGTAAAATTTCATATAAAGAAATTTTAGTAAAATAAAAAAACATGTTTCAAGAGAAATTAACAGAAATTTATATATAACAGGATTATAAATGCCTACTGAAACCTCCTTAAAATAATTTCGTCATACCCTTTTCTATATTTTTAATATAGTTTTGACAGTTTCAGCTTTCATCATATTGAATAGGTTTCATTATATCTCTTATTATGATTTTAATATAGTTTTGTCTAAGTTTCAACTGTTATTAAGGGATTTCGTCTCTCATCTATAAACAGAATATATATATTTCAATTTTTATATTTTACATCCTTTTTATTATAGTTATAAATATATAGTATTTACTTTATTACTTATTGTAAAAAAATAAAAATAAAAATTAGAAATTAATAAAACACATTAATAAAATTTTATTTGAATATATTAATATATTTTTAACTACAATAAATATTAAATACAAAAATATGCCTAAATAAAGAAAAATAAAATTAAATAATAAAATGTGTAATTATTCATTTTTCTATTTAATGTAAATTTTCTTGACTTTTAGAGGTTCAGATAATATATTGTAATTAAAATAAAGTGATTTATTTTTATATTCTATTATCTCCTGTATTGTAGAGTTTCTTTTAAGTAAATTATTATTATTTTTAAGTGTTTTATAAAAAAAAGTAGAGATTTGATTATGATTCTTTTTCTCAATAGTAAAATAAAAAAATGCTTTAAAATCTTATCTTTTATACTTTATTAATAGTTCTCATCTGTGATAAACCAATGTATATATATAAGAAGTTATCTAATTTGACTATAGATGTCTACTGAAATTTTCTCAAAATAATTTTGTTATACCTTTTCTATATTTTTAATATAGTTTTGACAGTTTTGACTTTCGTCATATTGAATAAGTTTCATCATATTCCTTATTATGATTTTAATATAGTTTCGTCAAAATTTTGACTATTATTAAGAAGTTTCGTCTCTCATCTATAGATTTAACATATATAATTCTTGAATATATGTTTTTAGATAAGAAGAATTTTCTTATGGTGAAATAAGAAACAAAGATAATCACTTAAGAGTTTGCTGCTTTAATTGTGTTGGATTTGTATTTTTATTTCAGAAAGTATAATACAATTTATAAAATCTATCCTAAAGTTTACAAATTAATTCTACACAAGAAATTTTGAAGAATAATTTTAAATTAAATATTGCAAAACAGTTTTTTTATTATTTCTTATAAGAGATGTATATTTTCAAATGTAAAATTTTTCATCTTTCTAAAAGTGAAAAGATATTTTTAATCTTTACATTTTACCTAAATAATACTTCATGTCAGATCATTAAATAAACTATTTTCTTAGATTTCTGTAAGCATTAATTTTCAAATTCTATCAGTAATTTGTAAAATAGCATATAATTCATTAAAGATTATATTTTTTATTAAAATTATACTAAAGAGAGAAAAATTAATATGTCCTTTAATTTTATTATAGTTTGTTATGATTTGATTTATATATTTTTTTATTATACCAATCTTTATTCAAATCTTTAATTTAATTCTTTGAATAACAACACCAGAGATAAAAATAGTTTATAATAGCATTATTTAATCTAACTAATAGTCAAAAATTTTCAATCAGAACTAAAGTATAATTCAAATTTCCACAAAATTTCTAAGACTTCTAACTAGAGTTCCGGATGAGTTGAGTTAACTCACGAGTCAGATAAGCTAAGTTGAGTTTAAATCAAGTCAAGTTTATATTTTTTTGACTCGATGATTTACGAGTCAAATTAAATTTGAGTTGAGTTAAATATTTAACTTGACTTAATTTAAACTCAACTCAAACTCGACTTGACTCGAGTTGACTTGAAATAGTATTATTAATAAATTAATATTTTAAAACTATAAAAATTAT